CATTCACCCATGTGTTTAAGGTAATCACTGTTTTGGTTTTACAATGAGAGGAAAATTTGAGATTTTTTTGACCAGTAAATCTATCAAAATCTTTGCTAAAGTGTGTGCAATATTGTAACAGGGTACAATTATTCAACTTAATTTCCCAAAGAATAGGAATTTATTTTCTTACACTGGGATAAATAGGATCCCTGTATCACTTTGTTCATATTAAGTCAGCCTTGCATCTGCTATAATCTGGTCCTCATAACTGTCTGACTTGTGCATGTGAATTACATAGCGCCTCATTCCTTTCTATTACTTGGTCAGGTTTGCTCAATGACAATTAACTTCAAGAAAATGCACAGTTCTTCGAAAGTGAAGGCACAGATCGACAGGGTGGTGAAGGCGGCGTCTGGCACGCTTGTCTTCATTGGTCAATGTACTGAGTAGAATGGTTGGGTTATCATGTTGCAGCTGTATAGGACATCAGTGAGGCTGTTTTTGGAATACTGCATTCAATTCTGGTCTCCTTGCTAGAGTAAAGATGTTGTTAAACTTGAAAGGGTTCAGAAAAGATGCACAAGGATATTTCCAGGATTGGAGGATTTGAGCTAAATGGAGAGGTTGAACAGGTTGGGGCTTTTTCCCTGGAGTATCAAATGCTGCGGGGGTGGGGTGACCTTATAGAAGTTTATGAAGTCATGAGGGGCCAAGGTCTGTTCCCCAGGGTAGGGGAATCTGAAACTAGAGGGCATAGGTTTAATGTGAGAGGGGAAAGAGTCAAAGGGACCGAACGGCCAAATTTTTCATGCAGAGGATGGTGCATGTTGGAATGCCAGAGGTGGAGGTGGGTACAATTACAATATTTAAAAGGCATCTGAATGGGTACATGAATAGGAAGGGTTGAGAGAGATATGGGCCAAATGCTGGCAAATGGGACTAGATAAGTTTAGGATACTGAAGTATACCAAAAGATTGGAGGATGGCAAATATCATTCCCTTGTTCAAGAAAGGGAATAGGGATAATCCTGGAAATTACAGACCGATCAGTCTGACTTCTGTGGTGGGTAAATTATTTGGAGAGGATTCTGAGAGATAGTATTAATGATTATTTGGAAAAGCACAGTTTGATTAGAAATAGTCAGCATGGCTTTGAGGGGGGCAGGTCATGCCTCATAAGCCTGATTGAATTCTTTGAGGATGTGACAAAACGCATCGATGAAGGTAGAGCTGTGGGTATGGTGTATATGGATTTTGGCAAGGCATTTGATAGGGTTCCCCATGGTAGGCAGAAAGTAAAGAGGCATGGGATTCAGGGAAATTTAGCTGTCTGGATACAAAACTGGCTGTCCTATAGAAGACAGAGGGTAGTAGTAGATGGAAAGTATCCAGCCTGGAGCTCAGTGACCAGTGGTGTTCCACAGGAATCTGTTCTGGGACCTCTGCTCTTGGTGATCTTTATAAATTTATAAACTTGGATGAGGAAGTGGAAGGCTGGGTTAGTAAGTTTGCTGATGACATGAAGGTTGGTGGAGTTGTGGATAGTATGGAGGGCTGTTGGAGATTGCAACGGGACATTGACAGGATGCAGAGCTGGGCAAAGAAGTGGCAGATGGAATTCAACCCAGAAAAGTATGAAGTGATTCATTTTGGAAGGTTGAATTTGAATGCAGAATACAGGGTTAATGGCAGGATTCTCGGCAGTGTGGAAGAACAGAGGGATCTTGGGGTCCACGTCCATAGATCCCTTAAAGTTGCTCCCCAATTTGATAGGGTTGTAAAGAAGACGTATGGTGTGGTGGCTTTCATTGGCAGGGGAATTGAGTTTAAGAGCTGTGAGGTTATGCTGCAGCTCTATAAAACCCTGGTTAGACCACATTTGGAATACTGTGTTCAGTTCTGGTCACCTCATTATCGAAAAGATGTGGAAGCTTTAGAGAGGGTGCAGAGGAGGTTTACCAGGACGCTGTCTGGACTGGAGGGCAGGTCTTATGAGGAAAGGTTGAGGGAGCTGGGGCTTTTTTCATTGGAGCAAAGAAGGATGAGAAGTGACTTGATAGAGGTGTACAAGATGATGAAAAGCATAGATAGAGTGGATAGTCAGAGACTTTTTCCCAGGGCGGAAATGACTATTACGAGGGTGCATAATTTTAAGGTGATTGGAGGAAGGTATAGGGGAGATGTCAGAGGTAGGTTCTTCACACAGAGAGTGGTGGGCGTGTGGAATGCGCTGCCGGCAGTGGTAGTGGAATCTGATAATTTAAAGACTTTTAAGCGACTCTTGGCTAGGCACATGGAGGATAGTAAAATGTAGGGTATGCAGGGTAGATTGATCTTAGTAGGATAATAGGTCTGCACAACAACGTGGGCCGAAGGGCCTGTACTGTACTGTTCTATAATAGCTGGTCGGCATGGACAAGTTGGACCAAATGGTCTGTTTCTGTGCTGTATAACTCTTTGACTCTATGAATGCATCTTAACAGTTTGACTGCCATGTTGTACAATCTATTCTGCTTTAAATTAATTAATAAATTAACTGATCAATTAACACCAATCACATGCATAATTACTTGCTTGAGAAAAGTCACAAGCTTACGGAGGGCTACCCTCCACAAGTCACCACTTCTATTGCATTGCATTAATAATGTACTCACCATTTTCAGTGAAAATGTTAACTGACAGTATTGAGAGTTCACAGAAAAAAAAAATCAGCCATGGACAACTGAAGAGATAAGGGATAGCATAAAACTAAATGAAAAAGCTTACCAAAAGGCAAAACAGTAGATCCCGCCGAATGGGAAAGATACAAATATCAGCAAAAGGCTACAAAGCAGCTTGTAAGAGCCACTAAAAGGGATTATGAGAGGAAACTTGCTAGGGACATCAAAATCCATAAAAAGAAATGATACGATTACATAAAAGGGAAAGTGCATGGTCAGGAGCAATGCTGGCCCACTAAAGACTGAAAGTGGGGATATTGTCAATGATTATGGGGAAATGGCAGACACGTTGAATAATTACTTTGCCTCAGTATTTGTCAAGGAAGGATGGCTTGCCACAAGCCCCAAGCCCCAAGCAAGCTAGTGGATTGGGAACAAGGACTGAATAAAGTTAACCTAAGGAAAATAATCTGTAACAAAGAAATTAATGGAATTAAAGAGTGACAAATCCCTGGGACCTATCAGTTTCCATCCAATGGCGTTGAAGGAAATAGGGGAGCTGTAGGTGCTCAAATTATAATCTTTCAGAGTTCGCTAGATACAGGAGTTGTCCCTCTGGATTGGAAAAGTGCGTGTCACTCCACTTTTTAAGAAGGACGAAGAAAAAAAAGAGGAAAACCCGGGAACTACAGATCAGTTAACCTAACATGTGTGGCGGGGAATTTTTTTGGAGACTATAATCAAAGATGGGTATCTGAACACCTTGAAACGTTTCCCTTAATCAGGGAGAGCCTGAATGAATTCATGAGAGGTAGATCATGGTTGACAAAAGTCACTGAATTTTTTGAAGTTCTAAATAAGGCAGTGGACAGGGGAATGTCTATGGATTTTTTTTAATATGGACTTATGTAAGTCATTTATAAAGTCCCACATGAGAGACTATTAACCAAAGCCACAGAACGGAGGATAAATTACTGATATAGCTGGAAAATTGGTAAGAGAAAATAGGGTTAATGGGTGGGTACTCAACTTGGCAGGATGTGACCAGTGGTGTCCTGCAACGATCTGTATTAGGGCCTCAATTATTCATATTATTTATTCATAACTTGGATAATGACACAAAGTCATATTTCCAAATTTGCTGATAACACAAAAATAAGGTGGCATTGTAGACAAAAAAATTACAAAGGGATATTGATAGACTAAGTGGATGGGCAAAGCTGTGGCAGATGGAGTTCAATGTAAGCAAGTGTGAGATCATCTATTTTGGAACAAAAAAGGATAGATATGGGTACTTTCTTGGTAGTGTGAAGTTAAATACACTGGATGTCCAAAGACATTTGAAGATTTAAGTACATAGATCATTGATGTGTCACAAACAGGTGCAGAATATAATCAAGACAGCTAATGGAATCCAGAGGGCTAGCGTATAAGGATGCAGAGAGAAGCTGCAGTTATACAAAACAACAAGGTGCAGAGCTGGATGAACACAGCAGGCCAAGCAGCATCATAGGAGCAGAAAGGCTGACGTTTCGGGCCTAGACCCAAAACCCTGGTTAGACTCCACTTGCAGTACTGTGAGCAGATCTGGAAGCCACACCTCAGGAGGGATATACTGGCCTTGGAGGGAGTAGTGTAGGTTTACAAGAATGATACTTGGGCTTCAGAGGTTAAGTTGAGGAGAGATTACCCAAATTTGGCCTGTTTTCTCTAGGATTTAGAAGGTTAAGAAGTGATCTGAGCAAAGTTTGAGATATTGCCAGGAAAAGACAGGTTAGATAAAGAAAAACTATTTCCACTGGTTGGGGATTCTAGAACTAAGGGAATTAGTCTGAGAAGTAGGGCCAGACTGTTCAGAGATGTTAGGAAGCACTTCTCCACACAAAATGAATTGTCGATGCTTGGAACTCTCTTCCATTAACAGCAGCGGATGCAGGATCAGTTAATTTTAAATCTGAGATAATAAACTTTTGATAAGCACTAAGGGATATGAGCCAAAGGTTGGCCTATACAGAGTTAGGCCACAGATCAGCCAAGATCTCACTGAACGGTGGAACAGGATTAAGGGGCTGAATGGTTTACTCCTGTTCCTACGTTCATATGGCCCTACAACCCATTTCATCAATTTATCTCAAAGGAAATTAGAACACAAATTTTTCTGCATTGCTTACAGAGCACATGAAAAAAAAAATCAATGTGAAGATTTGTGAAAGTGTCAGATTTATGAAAGTGTCAAATTTCTGGTCGTGGCAAACACTAAATCCATTTTCTGGACTTATCAATCAGGAAGTGTCTTGCTTATAAGTACCTTTGAGAAGGCTATAGTAAACAAGTATGACAGGATATTTGCTGGCTTACCTGGATAAAATTCATTGCAGCCACTCGAAGATGTGTTGTGGCATCACCAGTCTTGCTAAGGAGAATGGGTAATGATCTCTCCACACAATGTGTGACTTCTACTTTGCCCAGCTTGTGCTTTGGAATATACTGTGTAACCAGCATTTTTAGTAACTTCAGAGATGCTTGAAAAACCTAGGAAGAGTATGATTGTATAATTAAAAATTACTTAAATTTTACACTAAAGATTTACACTCATCACAAACAGCTTTATAAAAGAAACATTTTTATTGGTTGTTTAGTCAAGTCATCAGGTGTTTCTTGCAACTCGAGGCCTTCCTAATCAAAGTTTTATCAAAGTTTAGTATAAAATCTTTGCTCTTATATCGCTTGCTTCTATTTATAATGACAACAGTCTTGTAGGTCTTTTAACAGTTTTATCAATTTCTCTTGATGCTGCATGAAATAATCCATAAGTCTCTCTCCATTCCAGCAATCCCATTAAAGCTGTATCATTTACTTATATTGTCTCACTTCACTCTTTCTTAAATGTACCACTTCACTTTTCTTTGCATTTAATTTGTTTGAGAAGTATTTGCCCACTTCACCAACTAATGCCTCCCCAAAGTGTTACTACCCTCTTTACAGCTTACACTTGGGAGGATAACTTTTTTCTTTCAAATGCAGAAGTGCTTGCAGACACCAGGTGGGGCACACAATACACAGAAAATGATGTGAAGGGAATTGATTAATTGATTTATTGCCATGTGTACCTAAGTATAGTGAAAAGCTTTGTTTACAAGCAGTACAGGCAGATCATAGTAAGGACATACAGATCAAATTGGAGTTTTCAGAAAGTCGGTGAAGTCTATAAGAGGGTTAAAAAAGAAGTGAAGAAGCTTAAAAGACTGAGAGATTTCTGAAATTTCAAGTAATTTAGTAACCGAGGTGACAGAGACTCTAAACTGGAAGATGACAACAGTGTTAGCTGTCACAGTGTGCTCATTCTTCTTGCAGCTTGTCTTGCGCATTGACCAATTATAAACATATACAAACAGATGAATTAGAAGCAGTGGGCCACTCAACCCTTTAAGCTTGCTCTGCTGTTCAGTAACGTTATGGCTGATCTGATTAACTTCAGCTGCATATTTCTGCAAACCCAGGACAACCTTTCACCCCTTTGCTTATCGAAAATATACCAAACTCTGGCTCAACAATATTTTTTAAAAACCTGCCTCCACTATTTTTTGATGACGAGAGTGCTAAAGACTTTCAACTGTCATAGAATTACTAAAAGGAACATAGGAGGCAGAGTAGGCAATTTCATCCTTCAAGCCTGTTCTATCATTTAATCAGAGTACGGATGTTCTGCAACTATATTCTTCAACCGAACTTGTCCAAACCATTTCATACTTTCGGATGATTGATAGATTTAATCTCAGATTTTAAATTAACCTGTGGACTAGGATCAATTACTCATTCTACTGAGGTTCTGGCTTTAATTTTTAGGCTATGTGCCCAAGGTCTAAGTTCCCCAAACAACACAAATAGCCTTGACCTCCAAATCCAAGGGAATATAACCTTTGGCAATCCAAGTATCGATCTGATAAATCTAAGCAGCACTCTTCCAAGCCCAATGCTTTTTTTCTATTAATTAGTGTCACAGACCATCAGGTGTGGTCAAACCAGAACTTTGTACAGATGGAGTATAAACTTCTACCCGATGGATACTGAAAAGCATGATCTATCACAGGGACCATGACTTGTTTTTCAATATTTATAACTACTCTTATCTATCATTTATGGGTCCAGGTTAATGCGCACACATTTGCCATTTTGTCCGTTTACTGATTTTACCAATTTGCTACTTTCTGCTTGCATCTACACTGCTTTCAACATCTTCTATTATTGTGTCATGTGGAAACTTAGGAATGTGGTCCTCTGTCCCATCATTCAAAAGAGATGTTAATGTTCTTCTGCAACAGATGCAATTAACTTACAAATTAGACAGCAAATCACATGTGTATGGTTTGGAGGGGAGTAGGGGCTACTGTCGTCCAGCACAATACAAGAGTTTGAGATTGAAATAAAATGTACATCAAACAACTTGTAGAATAAAATATCTTTCCGATAGGTGTAAATTACCGCTTTAAGAAAACTTAAGTCTGCTTTGTAAGTTTGAATGCGAGACATCAAAATTTAGGTCCGGATATCATTACAGACACACACATCCCCTTATCACATATCTGCCACCTACAACCAAAGAGATATTTCCCTCCCCACCCCTATCTGCCTTTCACAGGGACTGCTCACTCCATGACTCCCTTGTCCGCTCCACACTCCCCACTAACCCCACCACACCTGGCACCTTTCCCTGCAACCGCAGGAGGTGCTACACCTGCCCCTACACCTACTCCCTCACCTCCATTCAAGGCCCAAGGCAAACCTTTTATATCCAACAGGGGTTCACCTGCACATCCGTCAGCTTGGTCTACTGTATCTTTTGCTCCCAATATGGCCTCCTCTACATCAGTGAGGCCAAGCGTAGACTCGGAGACTGTTTCCTGCAGCATCTGAGCTCTGTAGGTGGCAAATGACAACACTTTCCGGTCACGAACCATTTCAACTCCCCCTCCCACTCCCTGGGTGAGATGTCCATCCTGGGCCTCCTCCAGTGCCACAATGATGCCAGCTGCAAACTGCAGGAACAACATCTCATATTCCACCTCGGAAGCCTATAGCCCCATGGCCAAAACATAGAATTCACCAGTTTTAAAATATACCCACCACCTGCCTCATCCCTGCCTCCCTGACCTGACACAACCTGTCCATCTTCTCTCCCACCTACCCGTCCATTCACCCCACTGACCAATCTCCACTACTCCCTACCTGCATTCAATTTTCACCATCCCACCTACCTTCCCCAGCCCCACCCCTCCTCTATTTATTACCCAGCTCCCTTCCCCCACCCCATTTCTGAAGAAAAGTCCTGACCCAAAACATCAACTTTCCTGCTCCTCTGATGCTGCCTGGCCTGCTGTGTTCCTCCAGCTCCACACTGCTGTCTGTGACTCCAGCATCTACAGTTCTTGCTGTCTCTAGACAGTGAATGAAGCAGCCACACATTTTAACAGAAACTGAGTATTACAGCAGATTTATTCTTTCCTCTTAATCCCTAATCCAGTGCAAGAATGCATGAGATTTATCAACAATTTTAGTAATTAAATTTTTAAAATGTTTATCATGGGAAAGAGGGCGGGACAGTGGCTCAGTGGTTATACCTACTGCCTCACAGCACCAGGGATACGAGTTCAATTCCAGCCGCAGGCAACTGCCTGTTTGGAGTTTGTATATTTTCACCATGTCTGTATGGGTTTCCTTCCCACAGTCCAAGAATGTGCATGTTAGGTGGATTGGCTATGTTAAATTGCCCATAGTGTCCAGGGATATGCAGGCTAGGTGGATTAGCCATGGGAAATGCAGAGTTACAGGGATAGGGTAGGGTGGTGGGTCTGGGAGGGATGCTCTTTAGAGTGTCGACAGACTTGTTGGCCTACTTCTACACTCTAGGGATTCTATGAAATAACAAAGAAACATAAAACTTTTGCAATACTGAATACAATGTTGTATTATACCAGCACAGATTCAGTAACATCTCTCAAATTTAATACATGAATTGCATGTCAAGCGTTACTGGCTTAAAGTTAGAAATTTGTGCATAAATCAACAATCATCTAATTGGCATCATATGTGGGTGTCCAAACTTTCCAAAGTAGTACTTAAGCAGTGGTTTTAAAGGAACAAAGTCAAGCAGCTTATCATTATAATAATAATAATGCTTCAAATCAGTTCTGAACAATGTCATGGGAGATCACGTTCATCATAGGATCTGAAAATCAAGTAGCAATTCAGAATAACTTGTAAGAGATTTAATGTGTTAGTTCAAACCTTTTTTTTTGGTTCTGGGTAGCTCAAAGGCGAGATGGGCTGCAGGGTCAGACAGAGGATCGTGAGGGGTAGAGAGAGAGAGAGGGACATGGGAGGAGGGGATGAAGGACAGAGACAGCATCCAAGGCAGGTAAAATAAGAGTAAAGACTGCAGCGGAAACAGGAGAACAATCAGGAAAGCTGAAGTCCAAAGAATCTAAACTGGAATAGAATTCCCTTTTGTGCTCTACTCAGATTATAAACGTTGATGGTTTGATTGTACAATCCAGTTTCCTTGAAATTTTAATGAACTTGACATGAAAAAGTAAGTACTTTGCTGACCTCCAGTGGCAAATCATAAGATACTTTTGCCTGGATTTTCAAACAAAAAGTGCAAATTAAAAATAGCAACTTTCTCCCTCCAATCTCTTTCTTTCATTGGATAAAGAATAAATAAACTTCCAAATCACAATTATCTGTTAGCAGGTATACAACAGTCCTCATTAATTCTCGATTTCTCAGAAATTCACAATCAATTAATGTGGCTGACATCACTATCTCCAACATAAAACTGACTTTGTGGTGGTAAAGAGGCGACAAACACGGAATTAATCAGTTCATGCTACAAGCTGCAGTTGCTGCCCAAAGAAAGTCAAACATTTTTCCATGCTAAGCTTGTTTGTTTACTAGACAGGAAAGTGCAGTTCAGAATACATTTAGCCTTTTAAAAAATTAGGGCTATTTATCTGTTGGGTAAGCAATACAAACGAGCAAGCTGATTTCAATACCATCAGATGGTGCACAACAGATAGTTTAATCCCACACTTTTTTAATCCCGTGCTCAGGGTTTATTTTCTGGTATTGATTTGCATCCTAATACTTTTTTAAACACTAACTATAGAGAGTGTGGATGAACTGGTAATAGCTTTCCAAGAATCTTTAGATTCTGGAAAAGTTCCAGAGGATTGGAAAACTGCCAAATTAACACCCTCAATCAAAAGTTAAATGAAGTCAGTTAGGTTAACATGTCATGGGGAAAATGCTGGAGTTTTATATGAAAATATGCAATAGTAGAACTTGTAGAAACACAATCAAGCAGAATCAGCACGGTTTCATGAAAGGGAAATGATCGCCGACAAATGTATTAGAATTCTTTGAGGAGTTAACAAACAGGATAGATAAGGCAAACCAGGAGACACAACATATTTGGATTTCCAAAAGATGTTCAATCATATGCTGCACATAAGGCTACATCATCAGATGAAGCC